TGAGCCAATTCACTGAAGGGTGTCAGCCCTCGAGGAGAGAGCTTAAATGAGATTCATGCAGCTTCTCAATCGGCATTTCAATGATGCATCGGTTTTATACGAGTTACATTCTTAATTCGTCGTTCAAGTAACTGGCCCCGGTGTTGTTATGAATGCGTCGATTCTCACTCTCGCGATACACCTGCCAAGTTTCGATTTAAAGCTTTCGTGACTGCAGGGATTCATATTCTTAGATGACATGCGATTGAAACGTAAATATACACGAATTATTTTTTTTATGGGGAGCAATTGAGCAAAGTTTAGTTTTTAATTGTACAAACAAGATATTTTTTTGGGGGTTTATTCTGTATTCACCAGGTCAGAACTCAAGAGACCAGGATGATGTAATTGGCAAGAGTTACCAGGGCCATGGGTCTGCCGGTAAGGAAGGGGGAGGAGGGAGGGGGAGTGATGACTGCTATTGCGTAATCCCAAATGAGTAATTATTTCCAGGAAATTTTGGAATTTGGAAAATTTGACCTCCGATGCCGGCACACGATGGCCGGGCGATCTTCAATAGCCACCGTCTTCTTCTCTCGTACGGCTGCCGATGTAGATGAAGAACAACGACTTATGATTTCACATTCAGGTGGTCGAGCACAGAAGCAACGGAGTGTATCATCACTGTGACGTCTCCTTCGCATTTGTGGATCGGGGCATTGCGTCATTATACATTATACGGTCCGTTCTGGATTACCAGTCGCACACTACTGGAGATTATCAACACTTCCATTCGTGCATCGGGTATCCCGGCATCTACTGCCAAGGTTTGTGCAGTAGATGCGGTTTGGGGCGGACCAATTTCCACCGTGAGTGAGGCAGACAGAGCGTAGTACAAGTACGACTCATATACACACACTTCTTCCCTTTATTAATGCCTATCCCCTCCCTTTGATGCTGCTAATCCTGCATAATGCACGGGCATAAGTAGTACTAATCACATACCTGCATTTCCCATATCCCCTCCCTTTGATGCTGCTAATCCTGCATAATGCACGGGCATAAGTAGTACTAATCACATACCTGCATTTCCCATATCCCCTCCCTTTGATGCTGCTAATCCTGCATAATGCACGGGCATAAGTAGTACTAATCACATACCTGCATTTCCCATATCCCCTCCCTTTGATGCTGCTAATCCATCATAATGCACGGGCATAAGTAGTACTAATCACATACCTGCATTTCCCATAAATATGCTAAATTCCTCTTGATATGCAAATTCTTTTGTAAAGGCGCCCTTTCCCCCCCTTCCAACCCAGCTTATATATATGCTCCAAGCACGTGTGCTGTTTTATTCAGACGCTGTCGCCTCGACAGACCTGTTCTTCACCTGAGGACGGCTGCTTGCGTTGTGGCCGAAACGTCGTGAAAATTATTTGATTATGTTTTATTTTTATTATTTTATTACTTCCCTTCTACGTGACTTTACCGAAAGAACCAACAAGACACACCGTACTATTGCCCATTCCCGTTCCGATGACTTACGTCATCATAAACGAACCAGAATAAAACAGTGCCGAGGCTCCCACACAAGGCCGTGCGGGAGCGCGTGTAGCGCAGTTTGGCGTCAGCTCTCATCGAGCGTGGTCGTGTCGCTACGGTTTTCCGCAGTGAGTGCGATTGTCTTTAAAAACGATGGAGCTCTGCCTCTCTGAATAGAATTAACGTCGAGCTGCTTGCGCGTTCCGAGATTTAGCAGTGAACGGGGACACCCACCACCCTGCATCTTGCAGACGTCTCAGAATGGGAGAAAAGGTTGATCAGGGCGGCCGCTGGATTCGAACTGGGAACCTCCGTAATGCGCTACCGCTGGGCCGCTGCGTCACCGCTCCAAGGCTAACACCACCACCACCGACAACAATGGTAGTAGTAATCATCATTGTTATGCAAATGAGATGGTTAACATTTAATTATTTGTAAAAAAAAATCTCCTCTTTGAATGGAGACCATGCAAAAGTAATAACAACTTATCAAGTAGATCGAATTTAGAAGAATGAACAACACCAGCTACAGTGATAATGAACAACGCCATATAATGAGCACATCTGTTTCAATGCAGCCGCTCTGATAAGCAATGCCTTTTGAACTGCACACATTCACGAATGAACGTTCATAGCGCCCATTTGTTTCGCACCATTCGGTTTAAAGGAAGCGGCAAAACTCTGGACCGGTTTCTACTTTTTTTAAAGTCTCATCAGCAGAATCGGGCTTGTTGACCGAATTATTCCGGACCCATAGAGCTGACGGATTCACTTCTCGTTCAAATCAATTCACTGCATCGCGTTAAACATTTTTTTCCCCTACCCGTGAAACACCATGTGGTTAAGGGGAGTGGAGACCACGGAATGTAACGTGCGGGGAGAAGAGCATGGAACGGGAGAGGGAAGAAGATAAAGAATGGGGAACGAGAGTAGGCGGGGGGGGCGGAGAAGGAACGGAGATACGGAAGCAGAGGGTTCAGGAAAGACGAGGAGAGGGAGAGAGAGGACACACGAGGATCTAGATGCTGCTGCTCATGCTGTTGCTGGTGCTGCATGGAGGAAACTAAACTAAACAACTATTTTTTTTTAATTATTTTACCAGGTAAGGCCCAGTGTGCTTTTAGCTCTTTTTTTTCAGAAACAGTCTCGCAGCTCAACGAAATGGCTGGTCACCGTGTGGAAATTTGCACCAGCCAAACAATCTGACCACACGTTGATTCTAAACGTGGAGGACCAGGAGAAAAAAAATCCACGTGGCCACGGCGAGAGAGACGCGCAAACTCCAAATATAGAGCAGCAGCAGGCGTCAGGGTCGGGATCGAATCATCGACCTCCTGTATACCAGGCGAGGTAGTTAACATCTCGCCACCATGACGTTAGCCGTGCAATGCACGTGCGTCTGAAAGGCATTTTTTTATTCAATAAAACAAAATTGTACGAGGATGTTTAGGTCCCGGACTTGGGCTAAGATACATTTACAATAATATTTTAATTCATCAAATCAATTTAAAAAAATACTGTGAAAAGGCGAATGGGCAGTGCTTAGTGGCACTGTTCGGTTAGCACGGTGGTTAGTGGCACGGTGGTTAGCGCATCGTGAGATAAGCCTCGGCAATGTGTAAAACTCAACACGTTCATCGACAACACTGTGGCCTTAGAAGGAATATATATAATAGTCGACGTGTAAGCAAATTGCCCTTCTTCTGAGCACGCAAGTGACAACACGAGTACGAATCCCGGCCACAGCTCACGTGAGTGGCGGAGTGATATATCTGAACCAATCCCGAACACCCTCCCCCACCCCACACTTCACTCAACCCGCACTGACCAGCGTGGTGAAGTATGGTCAACCCGTAACTTTGGGGGACCCTTCAGCCAGCAGTGAATTGACGAAAGAATTGTTCATTATTTTACATTGTAACAGTGATTGTTGGAAGCTCCAGTAACTGCCTGTACCCCTACCCCCTGCCCTCAGTCCCCTGCCCCCTGACCCCTGCCCCCTGACCCCTGCCCCCTGCCCCCAGCCCCCTGCCCCCTGCCCTCTGCCCCCTGACCCCTGACCCCTGCCCCCTGACCCCTGACCCCTGCCCCCAGCCCCCAGTACCCCACCTATCACAACCTCGTCCTCCCGGCTGCATGTACAAGGAGTCTCAAGTGTTGAAGGAACGTAAATTTTGATTTAAAGCTTTCGTGGCTGCAGGGATTCATATAAGGGAAATAATAAAATTTATATAAATATAAAACAATATTTCTATTATTTTATTATTTCCCTTCTACGTGACTTTACCAAAAGAACCAATAATATGTTGAAGGAACGTTGACAAAGCTCACAAATCCATCCTGGCCCAGGACGAGAAGTAGTCGCGTTCACTACAACGCAGAGCGCGGCCCCCTCTGGACGAGGGGCGGTGTCGGGCGACGCCGCTCGATTCTCGCGGATCGTCGTTGTCGCTGTGCAGCCTTCTTCAAACGAAATACGTATAATCCGTAAAAACAAAGTTTTTCACTATAAATCCTTTATATGCGTGGCAGCGAACTTAATATAAAGGATTTAAAAAATATATTCGCCTGTGGAGGACGCGGGGATCGATCCCGCGACCTTTGGCATGGGAAGCGAGGGTGCTACAAACTGCGCTACTCCGCCACGGCCTATGGAGGGGTTATGCTCTGGGCTCTTATACTGTGACGTTCAGCCAAAGTGATGACTGAGTTCTATTTGAATATATGTAAAATAAAAATTTTTTGCCTAAAAAGTATAACATTTTTGGAATGTTTTTTCACGAACATTAATTGTCTGGCACAACGAGTCTGTGTGGAAAATGTCAGCTCGATTGGATCACGGGAAGTGGGTTAAAAAACGACCGAAAGATTTGCACGGTCGTAAGCAAGCAAGCACGCAAGCAAGCAAGCAAGCATGCGAACTTAATATAAAGGATTAAAAAAAAGGTTCACCGACCACGTCCATTCCCTTGTAACCTTCCGGCGAGGACGTTCATTCATCGCCGGAGGAACAAAGCTTTGCCGGCGGACACACAACGCATCGTACGTAGGCAATGCCGTTTGATTTTACTGAACCCAACCACCACCTCCCCCCGTCAAATCCTCGACGAGTCTCAAGTCTCGTTCTAAGCAGGGCCCCCCCTGCTTAACTCGCTTGGCCAATTCCTTTTCTGTGAGAATTATTTGCACACAGCAGGAAAACCAAAGCACCCAGAGAAAACCCTCCCACCCCCCCTCGCAACTCCTCTGACAGACAGCGTCTGCCAGAAGAAATCAAGCATAAAAAAACCCTACTTGCTGTACTGCCAGCTGCCTGGCACCGCTTCATCATTGCCTTGCAGTCGGACATCTCACACATGAACACCATCACCGCCATCACCGCCGTCGTCATCGCTCTGTCTGCGCGTGACCCGCCAACCCCCACCACTCAGTGGCTGACCTATGACTTATTGGCATGCGAACACCTAGGTCACCTACCTGTTGCTGCCGTATGGAACTTTGTAGATTGTTGGTATCAGCGGCTGTTGCTGCTGCTGTTGCTGCTGCTGTTGCTGCTGCTGTTGCTGCAGCTGCTGCTGCTGCAGTTGCAGCTGTTGCTGCTGCAGCTGCTGCTGTTGCAACAGCAGCTGCTGCTGCTGCACTTTCGGCTCGTGAGCGGCGTTCCCGGCTGGCACGAGGCCCGGCAGCGACGCCAGCGAGAGGCGCGGCCCGAGCGCGAGGCCCGGGACGATCGACGCCGCGGCGGCGGTGGCGGCGGGCGGCGCGATCTGCGCCAGCGTCTGCGGCGCCTGCATCGTCTGCCCCTCGGCCGGCCTCTCCCGCGGGCGCTCGCAGATGACCGCCGTCACCGTGGAGACGGACGGCGCGCACTGCGGAGCCGCCGCCAACGGCGCCGCCGGGGCCGCCCCGCGCGCCACCGCCGGCATCGCGGCCGAAACGGACGGCGGCAACATCATCTCGTGCTGCTGCTGCTGCTTTTGATGAAGCACGTGCAGATGGTGGTGCTGCTGCTGCTGGTGGTGGTGCGACACAGCGTGGTGGTGCGCCTGGTGGTGGGGCGGCGGCGGGTGGTGGTGGTGATGATGCGCCGCGGGGGGGTGGTGTTGCGGCTGGCCCTGCAGCTGGTGGTGGGCCCGCTGGGCCAGGTGCTGCAGCATCTGTGGCTGGCCCGGCGCGGTCGAGCAGGAGGAGGGCGGCCGCGCCGGCTCCGGCGAGGGCGGCTCGGCGTAGGGGGCGTACGTCCCGACGCGCGACGACGCCGTCATCGACGAGGTGGCCGCCGAAGCGGCCGCCGCCGCCGCTGCCGACGCCGCCGCCGCGGCCTTGCAAGCGTGGAACGGCGAGACGGTGGGGCAGGTCTCCTCGATGCCGCTGCCCCCGTCTCGCTGCAGGACATTGCGTCGGTTGCGAGAGCGCACCCAGCTGCGGTGCGAGCGAGCGTGCAGAGCGGGCAGTCAGGTGGGCGAGCAGAACCCCCATGTCCGACGGTTGCAGGGCAGGGCAGAGGAGGGGGTGACGGGTGAGAGGTTGAGAGGGCGAGGGAGATCGGGGCATTGGTTGAGAGGTGAGGGGTCACAGTCGCGGTGGGATAGGAAGAGAAGTAAAAGGAGCGGTGAATGAGTGGGCAGGAGGAGGTGGGGTGATGCGATGAGGTGGTGGAGAGAGGAATACGGAGGTTTGTGGAGAGGGTGCCATTGTGGGTGGTGGAGGAGAGAGTTGGCAGGGATGACACAAGGGGAGAGGGACAAGGAGATGGTGGAGACGGTGGCGTGATGATGATGATGGATAGAGTGGACAGGCGATGAAGAAGATATCAGCGGTTACACTTTCTTCCGTTGTCTTCAATCGTTTCAAAGAAGACGACTGGTTTCACAGAGTGCCAGCGAGCGTTGGGGATATAAGTCCCCGTGAGTCTAGCAGATAAACATCGCTACCAGATCATCGTTCAGCACCTGTCCTCGGGTACCACGCGGTGCTGTTTATTACAAAACTCATGAGAAAGTTTCCTAAAGCCGATTTCCGGGCGAAACGTCTGCTGAATAAGGGACGTTTGCCCTGTAGTAGTTTTCGAAATAGCTATCATTGTTATGAGAGCCAATGATTGGAACGAGTCCCCCTATGACATAATGGAGGATTTTACAACCAACATTAATAAAGTGTAATTAAGAATAAGCTTGACCTGTGATAACGTTTTATTATAATGCTGTATGTGATACATTTGTATCAAGCTCTGTAGTGTTTCCCACAATAATTTTTTTCCATTTTTACGTAATCGATAAGCTAGCAACAGTCGTATTTGAAATAAAAAACGGGAATAAATACTACATCATCATTAAGGGTGTAATGATTCATTAATAAAGGTGTGTAACTATTCACCCCATGACAATTCAATGAATTATGAAGATTTTGTGTCACGATTCGATTCAATAATATATTTATTACAGTGGTGAATTGTAGCGCCTCTTGTGATGCATGCCAATCTAACATTGAATATTAAAAACATCGACCGTTAGACACAAGGATCGATGCGTCTACCGTGAGCTGACGAATTAACATTAAATGATGAACGTATGTATCGTCACTCCGCTAATAATCACCGTAACCATCATCACCTGGTTCGCAGGACAACAGCGGCAGCAATGACCACGAAGCTGATGGAGCAAATGCTGACGATGGTGGTGACCTGGCGCGCAGTGAGACCTAAAGGGAACACACACAGCCATTCAGAACCATGAACAGGAAACCCATACGGCTATTCAGAACCATGGACAGGGAACACACATAGGCGTTCAGCATCAAAAACATAGAACACACACGGCCGTTCAGCCCCATGGACAGCGAATACACAGAGCTATTCAGCAACATGGAAATGAAATCCACACAGCCATTCAGCACCATGGACAGGGAACATAACCGGCCGTTCAGCCCCATGGACAGCGAATACACAAAGCCTTTCAGATCCATGGACAGGAACACACACGGTAATCTGTGAAACTACTGTACATCTGTGAAACAGAGCTTCATAGTTCATCAGATTTCTCCAGTATAAATATATATATATTCTGATTCTGCCATTCAGAACCATGGACAGTGAACACAGAGAAGGCAACCACAAGATATGACGCAATTTATTAGGTTGTGTTAGGTATTTGCATTGCAACGTGGACCTTTACGTTAAATAGCGGATCTTTGGATATAACATGTTTCAGCTCACCAGCATTGGCCCAAGCAAACTTGACAACGGATGAAACACAGTATTCCGACATTGTACACTCTCAGACAACTATGTGGTTGACGCGAAGTATAAAAATGTATGCACTTGTTATGTGGAGGGACAGATACATGAAGGATATATATTGTTTGCTCATTTATTTTGCTGGTTGATTGGATAGTCTGGGGCCTGACTTTGAAAGCAAGCACAGACTGTGATAAAATTGTTTCTTTTGAAGTGGAGTAATGTACTGCAGCCAAACTATGGCATACGTTGTATTCATATTACACGTCTCATTATACCATAATGTAGCTTTTTACCAATTTACCCAGATACTCCCGATTGTGCTAAATCTTTGAAGCCAATCAGGTTTGCACTTGCACATTGCCAGAGTGCACTATTAGCTCGCCTGTCATACAGGTGGTCGTGGGTTCGATTCCTACCCTGATGCCTGCATATTTGGTGTTTGTACGTTATCCCCGTGGTCATGTGGATTTTTCTCCGAGTTCTCCCGTTTTTCCCTCCACGTTTAGAAACATGCATTTAGAGTATTTGGCAACTATAAATTTCCACATGATGATAAACCACATTGTTGAGCTATCATTTGTGGCCAGGTTACTTCTGAAACAAAGCCATATAGCTCAGTGGGCCTTACCTGGTGATAAAAAATTTCATTTAGTTTAAATAGTGTATTGTGCGTGCATTTATTCCGGAAAAACCCGATGAGCTATGCAGCTTTGCGTCTCGCAAGATTGTCCATCCATGGGCAGGGGTCGGCAAGGGGGAAAAATTGCAGAGGGAGTTGCGCGCTGGAGTCTCAACGACACGCCAGCATCCTTGGAAAGTGGCGCCCCACCACGAAAATTGCACAGATTCCGCTCGAGCTATTAATCACCTTTGACCAAGGCAGTTAGGCAGCAGTAGCAGTCGTGCGTGTCGTATGTTGGTGGCAGCAGTGGCGGCGCTTTGTGTTCCTGTTGTGGCTTCATGGAACACGAGCGAGTCTTTATTTTCCACGGAACAGCTGAGAAATATTGATGCCTCTTTTGTTATGCAGCGTGGCAGATATGGCTGCTGTTACACGTTGCATCCATTCCAATTTGCAAGAAATCTCTTTCTTTTTCTTGATAGGTATATATATTTTTTTTACAACAGAGTGTTTTTTTTTTTACAAATTGTAAGCAGAACAGTTTGTGCACACTATTTATTGTAGCTAAACACACGCTCAGTTATTATGAAAGTGGTGTCAAGGTGGCATGATGACATTTGGGCAATGATCATCCTCTTATAGACTGAGTCACTCGTACACACTACACGTGACTGTGGCAGGGCCCGCTCTATCTTTCATTATTTAAGGCAACAGCTCTGGCTGGATGGTGGGACAGTTGAAGGAATGTTAAGAGCAGTGGCATTGATTTATTTATTTACGTAGACATTGGTAAGTGGCAAGATTATTTTTCACGGGACGCATGGAATTTGTGAGGGCGCAATGCTCAAATATGCACACGGATAGATTCAATACTCTTTTTCTGTATTTCCATCTAATGCCCTAAATAGAGGACAACAGAGCTTGGGAAATTGTTGGTGGTGACGTATTGGCCAGCTGCCTTTCACCTCGGGATCGAACCCACGACCTCCTGCATATTATGCGAAGTAGCTGACATCTAATCACCGACACAGTGCAGGAGTGAGAATATTTTGAGACTCTGTGGTCTTAATGATAGAAAATTAATGCGCAGCATCTGCCAAAGTTGCCGAGGTAATTTTTTTTTACCATATCCAATTATTCTTTTTACTGTGACTAATAAACAAATACATCTAAATTTAACTTTAAACTGACTTGCACATCGTCTAGACACCCCATCAGACGCTGGTCTATCAGTCTATTGTCTAGACACCCCGTCAGACACTGGTCTATCAGTCTATTGTCTAGACACCCCATCAGATGCTGGTCTATCAGTCTATTGTTTAGAAACTACGTCAGACACTGGTCTGTCATTTTATTGTCTAGACACCCCATCAGACACTGGTCTATCAGTCTATTGTCTAAAGACCCCATCAGACGCTGGTCTATCAGTCTATTGTCTAGACACCCCATCAGACACTGGTCTATCAGTCTATTGTCTAGACACCCCATCAGATGCTGGTCTATCAGTCTATTGTCTAGACACCCCATCAGATGCTGGTCTAACAGTCTATTGTCTAGACACCCATCAGACACTGGTCTATCAGTCTATTGTCTAGACACCCCATCAGATGCTGGTCTATCAGTCTATTGTCTAGACACCCCATCAGATGCTGGTCTAACAGTCTATTGTCTAGACACCCCATCAGACACTGGTCTATCAGTCTATTGTCTAGACACCCCATCAGATGCTGGTCTATCAGTCTATTGTCTAGACACCCCATCAGACACTGGTCTGTCAGTCTATTGTCTAGACACCTCATCAGTTGCTGGTCTATCAGTCTATTGTCTAGACACCCCATCAGATGCTGGTCTATCAGTCTATTGTCTAGACACCCATCAGACACTGGTCTATCAGTCTATTGTCTAGACACCCCCATCAGATGCTGGTCTGTCAGTCTATAGTCTAGACACCCATCAGACACTGGTCTATCAGTCTATTGTCTAGACACCCCATCAGACACTGGTCTATCAGTCTATTGTCTAGACACCCCATCAGATGCTGGTCTATCAGTCTATTGTCTAGACACCCCATCAGACACTCGTCTGTCAGTCTATTGTCTAGACACCCCATCAGTTGCTGGTCTATCAGTCTATTGTCTAGAAACCCTATCAGACACTGGTCTATCAGTCTATTGTCTAGACACCCCATCAGATGCTGGTCTATCAGTCTATTGTCTAGACACCCCATCAGACTGCTGCTCTATCAGTCTATTGTCTAGACACCCCATCAGATGCTGGTCTATCAGTCTATTGTCTAGACACCCCATCAGACACTGGTCTGTCAGTCTATTGTCTAGACACCCCATCAGATGCTGGTCTATCAGTCTATTGTCTAGACACCCCATCAGATGCTTGTCTATCAGTCTATTGTCTAGACACCCCATCAGATGCTGGTCTATCAGTCTATTGTCTAGAGACCCCATCAGATGCTGGTCTATCAGTCTATTGTCTAGACACCCCATCAGACGCTGGTCTATCAGTCTATTGTCTAGACACCCCATCAGATGCTGGTCTGTCAGTCTATTGTCTAGACACCCCATCAGATGCTGGTCTATCAGTCTATTGTCTAGACACCCCATCAGATGCTGGTCTATCAGTCTATTGTCTAGACACCCCATCAGATGCTGGTCTATCAGTCTATTGTCTAGACACCCCATCAGACGCTGGTCTATCAGTCTATTGTCTAGACACCCCATCAGATGCTGGTCTATCAGTCTATTGTCTAGACACCCCATCAGACGCTGGTCTATCAGTCTATTGTCGAGACACCCCATCAGATGCTGGTCTATCAGTCTATTGTCTAGACACCCCATCAGTTGCTGGTCTATCAGTCTATTGTCTAGACACCCCATCAGATGCTGGTCTATCAGTCTATTGTCTAGACACCCCATCAGACGCTGGTCTGTCAGTCTATTGCCTAGACACCCCATCAGATGCTGGTCTATCAGTCTATTGTCTAGACACCCCATCAGATGCTGGTCTATCCGTCTATTGTCTAGACACCCCATCAGACGCTGGTCTATCAGTCTATTGTCTAGACACTCCATCAGATGCTGGTCTATCAGTCTATTGCCTAGACACCCCATCAGATGCTGGTCTATCAGTCTATTGTCTAGGCACCCCATCAGATGCTGGTCTGTCAGTCTATTGTCTAGACACCCCATCAGATGCTGGTCTATCAGTCTATTGTCTAGACACCCCATCAGTTGCTGGTCTATCAGTCTATTGTCTAGACACCCCATCAGATGCTGGTCTATCAGTCTATTGTCTAGACACCCCATCAGTTGCTGGTCTATCAGTCTATTGTCTAGACACCCCATCAGTTGCTGGTCTATCAGTCTATTGTCTAGACACCCCATCAGATGCTGGTCTGTCAGTCTATTGTCTAGACACCCCATCAGTTGCTGGTCTATCAGTCTATTGTCTAGACACCCCATCAGTTGCTGGTCTATCAGTCTATTGTCTAGACACCCCATCAGATGCTGGTCTATCAGTCTATTGTCTAGACACCCCATCAGTTGCTGGTCTATCAGTCTATTGTCTAGACACCCCATCAGATGCTGGTCTATCAGTCTATTGTCTAGACACCCCATCAGATGCTGGTCTGTCAGTCTATTGTCTAGACACCCCATCAGTTGCTGGTCTATCAGTCTATTGTCTAGACACCCCATCAGTTGCTGGTCTATCAGTCTATTGTCTAGACACCCCATCAGATGCTGGTCTATCAGTCTATTGTCTAGACACCCCATCAGACGCTGGTCTGTCAGTCTATTGCCTAGACACCCCATCAGATGCTGGTCT